TTCATTGCTTCTTCTTCTTCTTCTTCATCTTCATCTTTATCTTCATCTTATTTTTATTGCTTCTTCATCTTAATCTTCATCTTCATCTTCATCTTCACCTTATTCATTCATTCATATAATTTTCTTCCACGTTTGTTGATTTATATTTAAATTTATATTTATCTCTTTCTTTCATTCATTCTTTCCCTTTCCCTTTCTTTCTTGAAAAAAAAAAATAAATAAATAGAAATCAAATTGTTATTCCCTTTTTTTTGGTATTCTTCATTTTTTATTTTTTTTCATTCCTTCTAAACATTATTTATATTGATACTATTATTCTATACGTTTCACGTGTTCTTTTATTATTCATTTATTATGTAAATAAAAAAAGAAAAACAACGAAGATACAGATTTTGGTGGTAGTTTTATATTTATTTTTTTTTTTATAAAAGGGAAGAAAAATATGTAAGATTTTAATATTTTCCTTTTGGTAGGATATTCTTCGAATGAATGAATGAATGAATAAAAAGAAGCTTGAAATTCTGCTAACAGAGTACGCGTTATTCTATTGCTTTGAAAGTTGTCGAGGTGATGATGGTTGATGGTAGTGGTAGGGATGAAGGAAAAAATAAAAAAAAGGGAAAATGGTTTAATTGACGCGATGAAACGTTACGGGACGGGGGAATAGTGTGCGAACGTGACTCTGCTAACGGAAAGTCTCGTTATGTCTACTACTAGCTTGCAACAACAACAACAACAATCAACAATACATAACGTAGTAGTAATAATAATAATAGTAGTAGTAATAGTAATAGTAGTAGTAATAGTAGTAGTAGTAGTAGTAGTAGTCAACAATATATCCAAGGAACAGACAACCGGGTCATTTTCACCACTCGTTTTAAGCGTAGTATTTAATTCGTTCTACGCACCATCACTGTTAAGTAACTATAATTCCCGGTTATCTCTCTTACAATGAGAGAAAAACAAAAAGAAAGAAAGAAAGAAAGAGGAAGAAGGGGATGGTGGTGGGTGGATGAATGGTAGGGGAGGAGTGGGGAGAGGAAAAACGAGTACCTAAATGACATCTCGGGTGCTAGAAATTGCAGTAAATTGGTATGTGACTACTAATGTTCCTTTCTCTCTTGTAATCGTCAAGATGAATACTACTAACTAAACATCTCATAAAGTGAATGCAATTGAACCGAAAAAAAAGAAAAAGAAAAAAAAAAGGAAAAAAAGAGACCTATTTAACTAATACATTTACGTAACGTTAACACAGCGATAATTAAGACGGTGGACAGTGAAGTGGAACGAAAAATAAATTAGAAAAAAAAAACCGTTAAGAATTTGTACGATTTATTTACTATCGTAAAAACGTTATTATTCACATATAACAATATGATTCGAATCAATTTATTTTTATTTATTATAACAATTTATATTTCTCATTAAATCAATATATGCTTGAAAAAATTCATATTTAGTACGTAGACCAATAAACTTCTACTCTTACAATTTAAGAATCAAATTTTGTTAAATAGTAATATGATTATTCCATTTTTTACACTTATCATTGTAACATTCTTTTGAACTTAACAACTCATCGTATCAATGTATATCACGTCAACAATAAGAACAACAAATAATTACTTACAATTCTCGCTGAAAATTGATTGTATTTTCTTCTAAAGAAAAAAAAAAGGGAAAAAAAAGAAATCCAAAAGGAACAACGTGTTAGGAAGCAAAAGGAAATGAAAAAAAAAAAGTTACTCACTCATTCGGATAAAGAGAAAAGCTGAACGAATGATGGTGTATCATCGTCATCGAGTCAATCGACAATACCCATTGTCCCGTCCACTACTTGTTAAAGACAACCCGTACTACCTCGTAAGTTAATCATTTATACTAGCTCGGTGATTACTCAAGCTTGCATATATTTCTCTCTCTCTCTTTCTCTCTTTTAAATGCAACTTATCAAGAGACAAGACAAGACAAAACAACACACTGAACGTTAAAGGGGTAGGAATAGGGGTAAGGGTAAGGGTAAGAGTAAAAGGTAGGGGTACGATCGTTTCGAAGAGAAAACTTGCCAACTTCGTCCCTATATGTTCTTCTTTCTTTTCTCTCTCTTTCTCTCTCACTCACTCTTTATTTTCTCGAGGTTATCAAGTAAGAAAAATAAAGACAGAAGACATTTCTCCTCCTCGTTGTCGTCGTCGTCGTCGTAGTCGAAGAAAAACACGTCACCGAGATCGACAGCAAAGGTGACATTCCTTCAGAAGCTGTTTGAAAATAACAAGAAACTATCTCTCTTTCTCTCTGTCTCTCTTTCTTTCTATACTCGTACAAGTTCGTTATGAATGGAACAGGTACTTCTGAACGAATATACTTTTCTCTATCCTTTATCTCTCTCACTCACTCACTCACTCACTCGCTCACTCACTCTATTTTCATCTTTTCTTTCTTTTTCTTATTACTTACAAATATACACTCATACATACATACATTTATATATACATAAATACATACGTACGTATATACACACATGCACTCATATATACATACATACATACATTCATCATACATATATACATACATGCATACATACACTCATCATACGTATATACATACATACGTACATATATGCGTACATGCATGTATAGAAAGAAGGAAGGGGAGGGGTTGGATTTCTTTCACTTAAGACTCATTAATTCTTTAGTTTAATCGAACGAACGTGCGCGTTAAAGAGTAGTAGACTCGCGCAAATAGCGTAGGTGCAATGAGATATATAGAAAAATAAAATGAGATAATATAAACGGAGAAGAAAATTTAATGGAAGGAGAGGAGCTCCGCGTAATACCCCCAGGTGTGTAACTTTGCGTAAAGTTAGCGAAATAGTCAGAAACAACAACGAAGAAGAAGAAGAAGAAGAAAAAGAAGAGAACAACGATAACGACGAGGAGGAGAAGGAGGAGGAGGAGGACAAGGACAAGGAAGACGAGGATGAGGATGAGGATGAGGACGAGGACGAGGACGAGGCAACAGGTTCGAACGTCGCCGAGTGGGCGCCACTCTTTGCTCGCGGCTAACTTTTTACCCCCTTTTCTTCTCCTCCTCCGCACACCACCGCGACAATCTTCTCTCCCCCCTACCCTTTTCTTCCCCTTTGCTCCCTCTTCGCAACCGTAAAGCGGGTAATTTAGCCTCGTATCCCCCGGAATGTCACATCGTGGCTCGAGTTATCGAGGCCTCGAGAAAGTTCGTCGTTTTTTAACAAAAAGAGTAAAGAGAGGGAGGGAGAGAGAGAGAGAGAGAGAGAGAGAGAGAGAGAGAGAGATGTCGTTTGTCATTAGAGTGTTGTTGTTCAACCCATTGAAAAGAAAATCGTGTCCTTTTGCGAAACTATTTTGTTATCTTTTTGTTTCTGATTTTCTTTTTTTGCAGCTTTCTCTTTTCTCTTATCGTTCTCAACAAATATCTCAATCCAAATATTTTTTTCTTTTTTAAATTCTTTGGGAAAGATTTGTCTCAATCATTTGTACACTTTTGGTACACTTTTATTAATTGTAATCTTCATTTATTCCGTATTATTTAAAATAAGTTGATCAATTAAATTAATTTATGCTTGTCGTATCGTAAATTACACAAACATTATTTACTTTATTTATTTTATTGGTTTTTTTTTTATATATATATTTATTAGTATTAATTACATTTCTGGAATATTCATTAGTACATTCCAGTACAATTCTCTTTATCACGAACGCATTTTTTTTCTTTTTTTTTTTTCTTTTTTTTTTCTTTTTTGGAATGTATTATTCTAACGATTTTCTCAATTAAATTTGTAATTACCAATTCTAGAAAGGATATTCAATTGGTCATTAAGTATTTATGTATTTTAGTTGGAATTTACCGTTGGATTTGTGTGTTTAGGGTAAGAAAATGATATTATTCTCCTCTCGTTTATGGTATTTCATTCACGTTTCGTTTACGTTAGATCGTGATCGTAAAATCAATCGAATCGTAGAAACAACAACAACGGTCAGGCTGGGGTGATTACTTATTGTTCGCGTGTGTTCTAATTGTTAAATAGGTCTTCTTAGTATTTAGTAATAGATAATAGTAGCAAGAAATTACATAGAAATAAAAGGATTATTAAGACGTGAATTATTATTATTATTATAGATTAGTCTTTCTTTCGTTTCATATCTTTCATCAGTTTTTCCTGAGAATCAACGAGTATGCTCATTCTCGCGTTACTTCATCGCGTATACTAACATTTATATATACATACATATATGTATGTGAAAAGTATACATGCATCAACTAGTTGCGAATCTCAATAGATTGTAAGTATCGCATAACGTAAGTTGTAAGAACGTGATATCTTACAAAATAAATCATAGCTTGCTTCATCGATCTTTTACGCATAGAGAATTCACAAGAACGGCAGAATTTATTTCATTACTACTGTGTGTCTTATTACTAACTTTTACAAGGAAGATTATGTATTTTTTGTTTGTTTCTTTCTTTCTTTTTTCGTAACGAAGGTTAACCTGAATATTCGCGTTAATTGAAGCCTTACGAGAGAAAGAAAGAAAGAGAAAAAAAACGATAAATTGTTTCAACAGAACAATACAACCTTGATCTCAGTTATTGCGAGACAATTGTTGAAAATAATGAACGAATAGAGCAAAATATTATTTTTTAACTCTTGAATAAACTAACACACTCCCCTGTGTCCCTCCCCCACCTACCGTCAATCGATTTATATTCATATATTCAATATTATTATTCGAAATAAATTGTTTTATTGATCAAACGAGAGTAATATCATATAAAAAGTGTTTGTATGAATGAAACAAATAGAAAAGAAATATAATAATTTAATTGAAATGAATAAGAAAATAAATTAATTCAAATGATGAATAATCGTGTTTTAAAATTATGAATTAATTTTATTCTAATACATCTCTGACACACAATTCAAATGATTTTCTAATAGATATAATATAACTTACCCCAATTTGATATAATACCCTAGGTTCCTGATGAGGTAAACGATGTTTCTTATTGCCAATAAGGTCGATCTCGATAGCTGCGTCCTGAAATTCTTGCAATTCGGCTAGGTATCTGTTTTCGTCTAAGGACAGGTACTCGTTGAGGAACTCTTCCCCAGCTTCGTCGAGGCCAACACCCAATAAGCTACCTTGGCTCTTACGAACGATCCCGGCGATCGCCACGAGATACAACAAGAGAGTCTCCATCCTCCGCAAATCCAACTTCCACCACCTCCACCTCCACCACAACCACCTCCTCCTCCTCCACCACCTCCACACCTCCTTCACTAACTTCTTTTATCCTTTTCTCGTGTGTCGGTTAACGACGAGTTTTGCCTTCTTTTTCTCTCTCTATCTTTATCTTTCTCTTTCTCTCCTTCTTCTTCTTCCTTCTCCTCCACCTCCACCTCCTCCTCCTCCCCCCACCACCCCGGGGTCGACTCTACGTGCGGTTTACACTTTGCACGTACATACTCTAAGTTAACATAGACGAGACATGCAACGAATGGCTGACCCACTGCGACCTTTTTCCTTTTCCTTTTCCTTTTTTTTCTTTTCCTTGATTGATTGATTTATTTATTTATTTAATTAATTAATTAATTTTTTTTTCTATTCCTTCTTCCTTCTTTGTTTTTTATTTTTATTCTTTTGTATTTACTTACATTCCAATATTAACGTATAAGATTCGAAGCAGATTCAAATTCTTATTATTATTCTTCTTATTCTTGTATTTGAGAATTATTACTTGATAAGATTAAGAAGAAAAAAAGAAAACAATGAAATTGTTCGTGTTGTCCTTTCGCTGCACTCTATCATCAAACGTTTATATATATATATATATATATATAGATATAACTATTATTATTATTATTAATATTACTTATAATTGAATCTTCTCTCTCCAAGACACCCTTCAAAGTCTAATATTATTCTTCGAGAGTGGGGGGGTAAAAATAAAAAAAGGAAAGAAAGCAAACCACTACCATTAACTCCACCTTCTTCTTCTTCTTCTTCTTCTTCTTCTTCTTCTTACACTTTCTCTTATACGTTATAGGTCATTTGATCGAACTACTATTACTACTAGCATGATCTCGTGAAAAGTAAAAAATAACTTACGTACGAACGTACCAACGAATGAACGAACGAACGAACGTAAATGATAGTAACAAAATAAAATAGCGATAAATTTCAAGATTTCAAATTGTTAACGAACAACAACAACAACAACAACAACAATAATAACAACAACAATAATAATAATAAATCGCACGAGTAAAAAAAAACTCGATGATAAAATAGAAATATATATTATATAGTTTCTTCTTTCTGATCTCGCAATTCGATTAAACCGAGGCACCACCTCCTCTCTCTCTCTCTCGCTCTCTCTCTTTCTCAGGACTCGAGAAAATACTATTACGAGTGAGTTTCGACGAGAAGGAGTAGAAAATCCCGCTGACGGGCTACACGAAGGTATGTCGTGAGCTGAACTGGACTCTTAAGCTAGAGGCAAAGCATGAATGGGTGCCCCCACCTATTCCTCTCCTCTCTTCTCTCTCTCTCTTTCTCCATCGAACTTGTGCCACCCTTCTTTCTCCTCTCCTCCCCTCTCCACACCTCTATGAACACCTTCCCCCCTCTCTCTCTCCGTTCGTTCAACGTCATTCAAGAAAGAGAGAGGGGAACTTTGCCGTTTTCTCTCCCCACCCCATACCCAACACCCTCCCCTCCTCTCCACCCTTCTTCCTCTCTCATTCTCTTTTTTCTTCTTCTTTTTCTTCTTGTTCTTCACCTTCGAGAGAGGAGAGGGACTGACTCTCCGATGCTTTCTCGGAAGCATCCTTATTTGTTTATCCATTAGGAGAGCGCGTACTCACGGATCGGTTGTAAAATTATGCGAACCGTCGCATTGGTAGGTACGCGTGTTCTCTCTTTGAACACGCGTTTAACTTTACGCACACGTTTCTCTCACTCTCTGTGTCTATGTATGAGTGTAATATGTGTATGTGAATACGACGAGAGAGTAAGAGAGAGTTAGAGGTGTGCACCCAGTGTTGTTTGTTTCAATGGTGGGGAAAAACCTTCTATCGGCTTCTCTTCTTCCGTGCTCGCGGCGTTTTTCTTCCTTTTTCAATACTTCTCTTATTTTTATTCTTATTCTTGACTATGAAAGAAAAGAGAAAGAGAAAGAGAGAGAGAGAGAGAGAGAGAGAGAACCGTTTGGTGGTATACTAGAAGGAATATATATATACCTTCTACTCGTTGCAGGTTTACCGAGCACAGGTTGGCTCAAGTGAATGCGTGGCCCACATGTTGTCGCGTGTATACGTATTCGTGGGATACATTCTTTTCTCTCTCTCTATCTCTCTCTTTCACTCTTTTTCTTTTTCTCTCTTTCTATCTCTATCTCTATCTCTCTCTCTCTCTCTCGTTCTTTCTGTTTCCGTACTCGGAAACTCCCTCGTCACCACCCCTCCTCTCACGGAGTGTCGTTAAAGGCCCACTTCATGTAGGTCGTTTCTCTCCTTCTGGGATCCACCAGGTGCAACGGGAGTGGCACGTAGGATTACGGACGTCCTTCGGAAACACGCATATCGAGTTCCATACGAGAAACAGAGAAAGAGAAAAGGAGAGAGAAGGAAACCTTGCTTACTTGCTTGCTTGCTTGCTTGCTTGCTTGCTTGCTTCCAAAACATTTTATTCTCATCTAAAGACTTTTTCTTATTCTTTTTTTTTTTTTATTTTTTTTTTTCGTTTTGTTTTTCCTATTTCGAGAAAATATTATAAGACTATTCGATGATAAACGTCACAATAGATTTTTTATCCAGTAAAAATATGACTAATAATAATGTTAGTATGAAACAAATTTTACGTTGTGTTTCGAATAGTGCAAATGTTTTTATTTTCAAATCAATCAAATTAACCACCTTATAACGCGCTAGAGTGAGATACATATTATATTCATTTTCGAAAATTTACGAATTTATGTCAATCTAATAATTAGAAAAAAAAAAAAAAAAAAATACAAACAATTCGTGTTCGATAAATATCATCACGTAAAACGACAGGTATCGTCACGTGTTATCAAATCGGCGTACAATTATTATCGAGATGATGATAACTTGATAATAAATAATAAATTGAATAAGGAAGTAGGAAGTAGGGGGGGGGGGGAAGAACTAGGCCCCGAATAGTTTCGAAAATTCCAATCAAGATGTTGTTGAATGATGGTTTATCGTAGATTCCGTGTTATATTTCGTAAGTTTACGAGAAAGAGATAGAAAGAGAAAGAATTTACACCCATCCACCCACACACACACACACATATATGCACATACAGATAAATAAATACGTAAAATGGTATGTAACGTGGATCAAAAGGTATAAACATCGTATACTTGAACATACTTGCGCAAGTACTCTCCGAGCTTTACATAGTAGTAGGTTGTGTGTAGTAATGCTTCATGCCATTCCTTTAATTCCCTCCCCCTCTCCCTCCCCCCTAACCCCGGTCACCCCGTGTATAAGGAGACTCGATATGTCATCTCTCTCTCTCTCTTTATTTCTCTATCTCTCTTCAGTACCTTTCCTTTCGATGTTTTCTTTCGATGCACGAGAGCACACGCAATGGCACACATAGTTCGTTGCCCACGTATGATACGAGCAACGACGCCAGCGTCAGCGTCAGCCAGCAGGAGGGTGGGAGGGTGGAAGGGCGGGAGGGGGGCTAGGGAGGGAGGATTTTTGCGTAGGCGTATCAACGAGTCGCGTTTTCACCACTGGCTTCGAATTAATACTCGTGTATTATATATGTGTGTAATACGATGGAGAGAGAGAGAAAGAGAAAGATATTTGCTCGAAGCCATGATATCGATTCGCTCGGTACCACCATCACCACCATCGAACGAATGAACGAACAAATGCGTGGGCGGTTTCGAGACGAGAAAAGATCTTCGCACCGATTTCTCCGATGATGATTTTTTTTTTTTTTGTTTTTTCTGTTTTCTTTATACTCTATTTCTTTCTCGTTGTTGTTCGTCTCCGACCCCGAGAGCCTCTTCTTCTTTTCCCTTTTTTTTATAAATAAAATATTATAAATTTATTTATAAATTTTATTAATTTTTTTAAATTAATTTTCATAAATATCTTTTTTTTTTGGAATTTTCTGTTATATATATATATATATCGTACCTTTTGTGAGAAATTAATTATCTATAGTTACCGGTAAAAGATAGAATGAAAATTGGAAACTGTCCAAGATTCTTTACATGGTGAAGCATCAACAACATCGTATATTTGGGTTCATTAATATTTTGGGCATATACCAAGTGACCATGTGAATCTTAACATTATCCAATTTTCATCATTTTTCACGAGACAATTACTTTTTTCAATTTACTAATCGTTACTTTGCAAAGAAACAAAATAATCAGTATCAATAAGTAGGGTATGAAAAGTATTAACTAAAAGCATACTTTTTTGTTGAAATTTTATTTCCCTTCCCTCATCTTCATCCTCCTCATTCGTTATTTGTAACACGAGCAATAAACTCAGATTCGTTTAAACAAAAATTAATCGTTTAATATAAATAGAGTAAAAAGAAAAATAAGAATAAAAATAAGAATAAAAAAATAAGATTGAGAATCGAAAGGTAAAGTGAAAGAAGAAGAAGAAGAAGAAGAAGAAGAGGTGTTCGTTTGAAAGTAGTTGGGAAACACTGGTTCATTGATGGAGGCTGCGGTCCATTCACTCCTCCCCTCTCCATTTCTCAGTAAACCCCCACTCCAAAGTTAGGTTCTCGTGTTGGGCCACGGCATCGTACACTATCCTACCTTGGCTTGCCCTGTCCCGACAAACTACCTCCCCCCCCCACCTCCTCCTCCTCCTCCTTCTCCTCCTCACCTTCTTCCTCCTCTCTTCTTTCCTTCTCCTCATGATCACCTCTTCCTTCACCTCACCTCTTA